CGCATGGTCAACACTCATACCGTCGATATGACCCGAGAACGTAAGCAAGCAGAACAAAGAGCAGACCAAAACAAGCAGTGTAAAGTTTGCAAGAGCTACGAACACAAAGTAGCGCAATGCGAAGTCTTTAAAAATTTCTCACTACAACGCAAGTGGAAAGCAGGGAAGGCTAACAACCTTTGTCGCCAATGCCTCAACCCACATAGACGCAAATGTTACTTAAACAGGATCTGCGGTAAAGATGGATGTACAGTCAAACATCATGCTTTGCTCCATAAATCGGTAATGAACCAAAGTAAACCAGTAAGTACTGCAATTGAATTCTCAGATGCCACGGTAAACACCCACGGCAACGAAAGAAACCAACCTCTTTTCCGAATCGTGCCAATTTATATTCATTCCAAAATCAAAACAATAAAAATATTTGCATTTTTAGACGAGGGCTCATCCGTCACGTTAATGGAAAGAAAGATATTTGATGAACTCGACTTGGTTGGTGAACAAGACCCTTTATGTCTGCGATGGACAGGAAACACTACGCGCGTTGAGAAGAACTCTGTAAGGGCTGATATTGAAATTTCAAGTATGACAAATAAGCGATGGTATATTTGAATAACATTCACACCGTCGACGACCTCGATCTACCGGCACAATCGATCGACGCGTTTGAGTTGCAGAAAATGTATCCACATCTAGCAGGTCTACCGATCGCCTCATATGAGAACCTTAAACCATCGATGTTAATCGGCGTTGATAACTGGAAGCTCGCAGTTCCTCTCAAAATAAGAGAAGGAACTTGGTCACAACCCATAGCTTCGAAAACTCGCTTGGGGTGGGCGCTGCAGGGATGCGACGTTGGTTGTACGGAAGAATGCCAGCTTAATGTCCACACCTGCGATTGCCAAAGGTTACGCTGAACTGCAGGAAATGGTAAAAGATTTCTTTAATATAGAATCTCCTAAACCAACACAAGTAATGTCGAAAGAGGACGCAAAAGCCGTAAGTATTATGAATGACACGTACCAAAAGATTGGCAACCGTTATGATATTGGGCTAATGTGGCGCGATCTTAATTCCTCGCTACCAGACAGCTATTCTTACGCTCATCAACGACTGAAATGTTTGCGAAAAAAGTTCATTAAAGATCCTAATCTAAAATATACCATACAATCACAGATCGATAATTTACTGGCTAAAGGATACGCCAAGAAGCTCATGGAAGAGGAGGTTGCAGCACGTGGTGGAAAAATATGGTATTTGCCAATTTTTATTGTAAGCAAGCCTAGTAAAGTTCGAATGGTGTGGGACGCGGCTGCGAAGGTGAATGGAGTTTCGCTTAACGATTTTCTACTAAGCGGCCCAGACTCGCTCAATTCACTAGTTGAAATTTTGTTGTCATTTAGAGTCAGCAGAGTAGCGATATGCGGCGATATTGCAGAGAGGTTCCACCGCATTAACATCCGGGAGAGAGACATGCACGTCCAGAGATTTTTATGGTATGATGAAGGCGATGAGCAACAGATACCCAGTGTTTATGTTATGCGAGCATTGACATTTGGACTTAATTTCGCGCCATGTATCGCACATTTTATTCGTGATAAGAACGCGGATAGTTACACTGACAAATTTCCCCGTGCTGTGGAAGCAGTTAAGAAATACCACTACGTAGACGGCTATATCGACAGCGAAGATGATTCAGAGTCCACTTTGACTCTGGCTGGACAAGTTCAGAAAATTCACAGCAACGCTGGGTTCAACATTCGTGGTTGGCCATCGAATTCACGAGCCGTTGTAGAGCAACTCGAAGAAAATGGTTCTTTGGTTCAAACTGGTAAGGAATGGGGCTCAACGACGAAGGTTCTTGGAATGTTTTGTGATCCCAAATGTGACAGCTTTAAATATATTTGCCGATTTGCAAGACTCCGTCGCGACGTGATTAATCAACCGTTTATCCCTACGAAGAGGGAGCTTCTTCAAGTCTTGATGTCTATCTTCGATCCATTGGGATTTGTAAGTTGCTATACCATTGGCTTATAGATTATGTTACAGGACGTGTGGCGCGCGGGCATCGGCTGGGATGAG